CATTATTTGTGCTTTAAGTTCTTCCTCTTCATTATAACCAACCCATGGAGGAACAGAAGCATCTAAATGATAACAACAACAATAAAAACAACAACAATAATAGCAATAAAAACTGTACATGCATAGCTAAAAATTTGATAAGATTCATGTGTACAAGTACATCTATTTATGCTTAAATTTCGGGAAAATTGAGCTCAAATTTTTATTATTACTGTGTGCATTTTTAACCCTTTAATCTCTGCTGATTGCGGACAAACTTGTCTTGTTCTTTCTGGAATTCTCCAATAAAACTGGTACTAGTCTAAAAATAGTAACACAACCATTACATCATCAGGCTGATACTATATTTAGAATTACTTTCTCTGTGACTTGTTTCTTGACATTTTCAGTAATAGAGACAGCGTAACCTGATACTGACTGGAATAATCCTGTAGCAACTGAATAATAATAATAATAATAATAATAATAATAAACATTAATTTTGTCATTTTTCACCCCAATTGGTACAAGCCTATACAAAAGTACCTCTGAAATGAGGACACCTCTGTATTTAATACATTGGGAGGTTTAACTGCACTAATTTTAAAGTTGTACTGCACACATCAATAATAATGCATATATACAATACATCAAAAACATGTTTGTACCATCAATTCCTTTAGTCCATCCCGTCTCTTGGTTCTCTTCTTTTTCACCTTCTTCTTCTGCCTCTCTCTTCTCTCCCTCTCCCTCTCCCTCCCCCTCCTCTTTCTCTTCTTTCTTGCTCCACCAGGAGCTCAATCCTTCACTAAAACTGCTAAACATAATTCTTCACTTCACAACTTTTACTGTAGGCGTGGCTACAACTTAATTGATCTGAGTAGGTGTGTGGATGGGCGTGCCTCAAATAACTAATTTACACGTGTAAACATGGCGGCTACTACTAGTGTATCACCATCAATTGAAGTAATGACTTGTTTATAGGCTGGGGTTCATTAATAATGTGTATTTTTGGTATTTTAGGAAAGTTCAGAGCGTCCTACAGCCAGCACTGCTGCTGCCCCGTCAAGCAAAGATAAGAAAAGTATTAAATATTAATTGTAAAAGTTTTGGCACTTTCACTAGTTTAAGTATGCATATAATTTTAGCAACATTTGAAATTGAAGTGACGTAATGGGGCACATTGCAGTTTAGGTCCTACCTACTAATGTAATTATTGCATGTACACATACCATAGTGTAGTTTACAAATTAAATCCTCAAAAACATTTAATTTAATTTATAGTGATCCCTCCTTTCTCTTTTCTTCTCAGAGTTCAGTCTTAAAGATGAGCTATCAGATATTCGTAAAGTAATGGATCAATTGGATTTATCGACAGAATCGAAACTCGACGCGTTATACAAACACTGCATGACAATTGTATGTACAATCACTGCATTATCATATACACTGAATCATATTGATATATGTACTTATGGCCAGTTAAAGAAATCGGCCAATTTCTGAAAAGTACCCAAGGCTATAGCCCATGGTTTTTTCTGAAAAATGGTTCCGAAATCAACCCAAATTTTTATTACGTTTTCTGATACATATTGATGTACTTATGCTGTGTAGAAAGTTTGAGCTGATTCCGAAAAATATTTTTTGAGTTATGGCCATTTTAAAAAATTGGCCAATTTCTGGAAAATCCAAGGTTATAGCCCATGGTTTTTTTCTGAAAAATGGTTCTGAAATCACCCCGAATTTTTATTACATTTTCTGATACATGTTGATGTACTTATTCTGTTTAGAAAGTTTGAACTGATTCCGACAAATATTTTTTGAGTTATGGCCATTTTAAAAAATTGGCCAATTTCTGGAAAATCCAAGGCTATAGCCCATGGTTTTTTCTAAAAAATGGTTCTGAAATCACCCCGAATTTTTATTACACTTTCTGATACATATTGATGTACTTATTCTGTTTAGAAAGTTTGAACTGATTCCGACAAATATTTTTTGAGTTATGGCCATTTAAAGAAAACGAGCAATTTCCGAAAAGTACCCAAGGCTATAGCCCATGGTTTTTTCTAAAAAATGGCTCCGATATTACCCCAAAATTTTATTACATTTTCTGATACATATTGATGTACTTATTCTGTTTAGAAAGTTTGAGCTGATTCTGACGAATATTTTTTGAGTTATGGCCATTTAAAGAAATCGGCCAATTTCTGAAAAGTACCCAAGGCTATAGCCCATGGTTTTTTCTGAAAAATGGTTCCGAAATCACCCCGAATTTTTATTACATTTTCTGATACATATTGATGTACTTATTCTGTTTAGAAAGTTTGAGGAGATTCCGACGAATATTTTTTGAGTTATGGCCATTTAAAGAAATCGGCCAATTTCTGAAAAGTACCCAAGGCTATAGCCCATGGTTTTTTCTGAAAAATGGTTCCAAAATCACCCCGAATTTTTATTACATTTTTTGATACATTACATATTGATATCCTTATGCTGTGTAGAAAGTTTGAAGAGATTCCAACAAATATTTTTGAGTTATGGCCATTTAAAGAAATTGGCCAATTCCTGAAAAGTACCCAAGGCTATAGCCCATGGTTTTTTCTTTAAAATGGCTCCGAAATCACTCCAAATTTTTATTACATTTTCTGATACATACTGATGTGCTTATGCTGTTTGGAGCTGATTCCGACAAATTTTTTTTGAGTTATGGCCATTTAAAGAAATCGGCCAATTTTTGAAAAATACCCAAGGCTATAGCCCATGGTTTTTTCTGAAAAAAATGGTTCCGAAATCACCATAAATTTTTATACATTTTTTGATACATATTGATTTAATGCTAATTTTTAGTGATACATTACATGTACATGTACATGTACGTGTATATGCACATGAAATTGATACATGTACATGTGCTGTAGGTTCGGGACTATAAAAGACTGGATAAAAGATTAACAGAATGTCAGAGAAAGCAACAAGAAGTATGTTAACTATACCTACATGTACTTGCTATTAATTATTTGTCATGATTGAATTGATAAATGGGATCACCTCATTGAATCATTCACCTCCAACTGGTCAATACTGTGTAGCGCAAAATTTTTGAATTTCGCAAATCTGCCCAAAAATTTGTTTTGCAGATTTATTAGTTTATTATTATGGTTTAAAATTATTTTTATCAAGTTTAATTAATAGTAAGAAAAACAAAAATTTAATAGTTAAAAAACACAACCTAGAATAGAAAAAATCCACAGTTAATAAACCTAAAGCCTACCTAATGTAAATCTGATATCCCTTCAAAAGAACGTCTTCATTATCACTTCCTTCATCAAGACAGAGTCTCAACTCAATAGAATCACTGGTTGGAGGATTAATAGTCTTACTAAACCATGGGGGTTTACAGCATGCCTCTTCACTGGTACCACAACGCAAACCATCCCATAATGGATCATTTCTATAGAAATAGTGTGGTATTGCAGGTGAATGATGACTCCCACCTTCACAGTAATAATCATTACCAACAAATGATGGTACAGCTTTTGGGTGTGCATACCATTTGGCACAAGGACAGTAGTTCCTATTACCATCATTATCCTGGCCAGCTATAAAGGTCCAGATATGCTTCCTGGTTCTACCATGAGTTAACATGACACCATCAACATATCCTGAATTAATGTTGAATGCAGTACCATGAGCTCCATCAGTAGTTCCTACTTGAAAGCCGACTAGTTTTCCATGGATTTGTGAATATTTAAAGTCCTGAACTTGAAAGTAAGTGTTAGTACAGCTATTACAAGGAGAATATGGACGACCACAGGCACGGACGCCATTGAAATCAAAAAATTTAAATCCACTTGGACAATCCTTTGTATTCCACATATCAAGATAAGCTATTCGAATCCATCCCTTTTCATCTGTGTTTGGTAGATTAGACATGTGACAATAAACTTTGTGAGAGAACCCAACAATCCTATAGTATCCTGAGGGACTGTCTGGGAACTTTTGTAGTATATCATAGCATGAGGTGAAGAAAGGATCAGAAGAATAGTTTAAGACTTTCTTGATATCAGCTGAGAGAGAAGACACTGCTTCTTGTAGTGAAGACACTGTCTCTTGTAGTGCAGATACATTTGCCTCTAGTGAAGCTATTGCTGCATCTGATGGCCCATTGCAGGTACTGCTAATCTGTGAACTGAAACTGGCCACTGATTTCTCAATTCTAGAGCAGCAGTTAACAGCATTGAGAGTATTCTGAGCGATGGCAGAAGTAGCAATGCAAAGAATGAGAAGAGAAGAACAGTAAAGGGACATAGTCATATCTTTTGGAATTATCTGGTGCTCTACTCTATAGTCCTGTGATCTTTATATGCTGAGAGAAGTGGATCAATGGTATTATACTAACAGAAATGAACCAATCTATTGATAAGCTTCATTCTCCATTGAGATACAATCTAAACTTATGACCTTACACCCTTAACTCAATAGGCATCAGAGCCCTGATGACCTGCAGCCATTCATCAATAATAGTTATTGAATTGTGTAGTATACTAGTACCGCAGTAATTCCAGTGAATTTAAGTAAATAAGTATATACATGTATGTTGTAAAATTATTTGTGGGTCACAACACAGAGTGGATCTGTTATAGTGTAACATTGTGCATGCGCAAGCAGACTCACTCTGCATGTGTTGTGCAGATTTGACCCACAAATAAAAGCATGCATACCTTTTCAATGAAGAAGCTATTGTTATGTAGCCAGTTACATGTTATTGACACACGTGCATGCACTGTAAAGTTGACATGACCATAACTTTTACTTTTGGCCAGAATTAGCTCAAGTTTCTTCATAGCATCACCTCATTGATAGTTTGATGTAGCCCCTATATGCATGTGTATATGCATGTATTTAGATTAACCTGCAAGCAATATACAATATAGCTCTTGCAGCTATGAGTATATAGCTATATAAGAATCTAAAATACTATGGGCTATTATAATTTGTAATGTAGTGTTGTTTGTAATGAGTGCTATGAATGACCTATGGCAAACCTCAATGAGCAGCAAAACAATTCATTACCATAACGCTCTTTATTAATTAAACAAATAAATTTCTGGAACCAAAGCAAAGTTAAACATAGCCGATACAATAGCAAAAGGTCAGTAAATAATAATCTTGAAGTCTACCTAATGTAAATTTCATATCCCCTCAAATAAACATCTTCATTATTGCTTCCTTCATCAAGACAGAGTCTCAACTCAATACTTTCACTGGTTGGAGGATTAATGATCTTACTGAACCATGTGGGCTTACAGCATGCCTTTTCACTGGTACCACATCCCCAACCATCCCATAATGGATCATTCTTGTAAATATGTTTTTTTTTTACTGGTATATCATCACTCCCACCCTCACAGTAATAATCATTACCAACAAATGATGGCACACCTCTTCGATTTGCATTCCATTTGGCACAAGGACAGTAGTTCCTATAGCCATTGTTTTCTTGGCCAGCTATAAAGGTCCAGATATGCTTCCTGGTTCTACCATAAGTCAGGCTAAATCCATCGACATATTCAGAATTAATGTTGATTGTAGGACCACTGCGAATTCCATCAGGACTTCCTACCTGATAGCCGACTAGTTTTCCATGGATTTGTGAATACTTGAAGCCCTCAACTTGAAAGAAAGTGCTGGTACATGACCAAATCTTTTTAGTGTAAGGTCGACCACAGGCACGAATACCTTGAGTTTCAATAAGTCTAAACCCAGTGGGACAGTCCTTCGTGTTATACAGATCAAGATGAGCTATTCTAATCCATCCTTTGTTACCATTGTATGGTAAACTGGACATGTGACAATAAACTTTGTGAGAGAACCCAACAATCCTATAGTATCCTGAGGGACTGTCTGGGAACTTTTGTAGTATATCATAGCATGAGGTGAAGAAAGGATCAGAAGAATAATCCAGCACTTTCTTGATATCAGCTGAGAGAGAGGACACTGCTGATTTTTCCAGAGAGGAGACATGTGTTGCTAAGGCACTAGATACATCAAGCACTTTCTTGATATCAGCTGAGAGAGAAGACACTGCTTGTTGCAGTGAAGACACTGCCTCTTGTAGTGAAGATACATCCGAAGATACTGATGCTAGTTTAGAAGAGACTCCTGCAACTTCAGATGATACTGATTCTACTTCAGAAGATACATTTGCCTTTAATGAAGACACCTCAGAAGATACTTCTTCTTGAAGGGAAGATACTTGTAGAGATACAGCTTCTACTTTAGAAGAGACATCTGATTTCAATGAGGACACCTTGGAAGATACTTCTGTTTGTAACAAAAATAATTTTGAAGATACATTTAATATTCTTTTAGACATTTCTGCTACTTCAGAAGATACTTTTTGTTGCAGTGAAGACACATCAGTAGACACTGCCTCTTGTAGTGAAGATACATCCGAAGATACTGATGCTAGTTTAGAAGAGACTCCTGCAACTTCAGATGATACTGATTCTACTTTAGAAGATACTTCTTCTTGAAGGGAAGATACTTGTAGAGATACAGCTTCTACTTTAGAAGAGACATCTGATTTCAATGAGGACACCTTGGAAGATACTTCTGTTTGTAACAAAGATACTTTTGAAGATACATTTAATATTCTTGTAGACATTTCTGCTACTTCAGAAGATACTTTTTGTTGCAGTGAAGCTGTTGCTGCATCTGATGGCCGATTGCAGGTACTGTTAATCTGTGAACTGAAACTGGCCACTGATTTCTCAATTCTAGAGCAGCAGTTGATAGCATTGAGAGTACCAGTATTCTGAGTGATGGCAGAAGTAGCAATGCAAAGAATGAGAAGAGAAGAACAGTAAAGGGACACAGTCATATCTTCTGGTTGCTCTAGCTACTACTGCCTACTGGGACTGGGGATATGATCCTAATGGTATGATTCAAGGTATATACTTATTTTGATAAGCTGACCATCAAAGTGAGAAGAATTATTTCATCATCTTCACTATGCTATAACAGACATAGCTTTGTTCTTCTATGGGATACAGATAACAATAGGCTATTGTTGGCTCTACTTGTTATTGACTTTTATAATAAAAGCTGATAGTCTAATTACCCGAGCCACGCGTAGGCGTGACGCGAGGGTAAAGCAGTCGTTTTGTCTCTGTGTGTTTGCTTGTTACCCACTGGTGTTTCAACTGGACATTTAGTTTATAAATAGAATAGTTGCAGTAGGTACAACATTGGTTAGTGAGGTGTGACCATTAATCATCACAAAAGAGACTAGTATTGCTAAGGACATTACTCCAAAGTACTAGCTGCTATGACAGTACTACATCTTCCATAGACCTAGATAAGGTCTCCTAGGACACCCCTAGCTCATGTGCGCATATATAATATGTACTGTGAATAACTGCGCATTGAGCTAAAGCAGCTGCCTAAAATACACTCATTTCAGCTGATGGTTTTGAGTGGACTTCCTGGCTTTGGAAAAGTTTTTTCAATTGTAACTATTATCCAAAACTGAAGATCAAAGGTAGTACATTGTAACAAAATATAATTTAGCATGCCACTTTTTTTTGCTAACAAAATATATAGCACTCAAAATGACACATGAATGATTGTTAGAGAAGCTCTGTCGCCTTTGTGGTAGAAATAATAGGCCAGTACAGAGTGTCCTGCTGTTTTACAAAGTTCAAAGAACCATTGCAAGAAGAATTTGTAATAGGTATCTAGCAGAATAGTGACGAAGTCCATCCCAAGTGTTTTAGTGATCGATGCTATGCTATTTT